AAAAAAAACTATATATTTGTTGTAAAATAAGCTAAAAATAAGGTATTATAAGATTGGTCGCAAATCTAATAAGTATAGAGTTTAACTTAGTAAATGCCACGTGCTTGCAAAGTAAAGCTCACCAAAAAAAAAGATCGGTATTTGATAACTTTATAATTAAAAGCATACAGTATTGTTCTACGATTTGTATCACTTTAATACTATATTTGTTAAAAGTTTTTACAACTTTACTTATAGCTCGAAAATTTCAATTTGGCATATATGATCTGCGTCACGTCCTAATATAGAAAATTCTCCAGGTGACTGGCGGATTATCAATTAATTGTTTAACCGTTTAACTTGGCCGGCATTAAGATAATTCCGGCCCACGACCAACATAATTTTGCCTGGAATTATGGAACAATTTTTAAACGGTTAAACGGTTCCAATCCCCCTGTTCTTGATGGTATCAGCCAATTAAATGACAATTCAATTATATAGAATGTATTGATATTGGCATACGCATCTCAAGTTTTCGCATTTACCATATTACTTTGTTCAATGGAGCGATCACCAGATGAAAGTGGAGGAAGCCGCCGGGTTGACAGTAAGACATAGCTAAAATATTTTATTATTCGCGCTCAATTATAAATATTTGTGTTCTTTACACTATCAAATTTACCTTCAAAACAAACCACACGTCAATAACAAGGCAGTGGTAAGAAAAGATACAGAGGTATAGTTCATAAGACCATGTTTTTGTTCTTGTTTTAAACTTTTATGCTACAGACACGTATATAGACTGTAAATTTACTGCTTTATATTTTTTATAGACGACGAGCGCCGAGGAAATGGCGGACGCGATCGAAAACAACGAGAACGTGGTAGGAGTTATAGCGAATCTCAGGATCAAGCTGCGGACGACAGTCCTGAGAAAAGACTATCGACTCTTTTAATCATTTTGGGAGATAAAGTATACTATCAGACAATTTTACGATTGAAATGAACGGCGTATCGATAAGCAATTGATATTGTAATAATTTGTTAGATGACTCCCCAAGAAATACATAAGAATATTGAAAAAATAGCTGAAATTGTTCAAACCGAATATTCTAAATACGAGCCTCTCGTATTGAAGACAATAAAAAATTGGTTTGAATATTTTTATACACATCTGATTACCTAGTGTATTGCTTAAATTATTTACATATTTCATTAATCATCCTAAGTTTCATGGAATTACCAATGAAGACATTTATATATGGTACCCTCGTTGGTCTTGTGAATGTCAAACGACCTGATATCGGCTCTGCAGTAGTAAAAATGACAGCACAAACGCTACAGCAATGTTTGAATGAGGGAAATTTGCGTGGGGCAAAATTTGCTGTGAGAGAAATTTCACCTTTTTAGTACAAATCATTTTTAATTCTTATTTATCTCATTTATGTTATTACATGTGTTTTTGACAGTTAAAATTCTTTGCTGAATTAACAAATGCTAATGTCATATTACCAAGAACCATGCTAGACATATATGATGATCTGTTAACTACACTTGATGAGCCAAATGTTAAGTTGGTATGTATTTATTATAATTTGATACCCAAATAATTGTTATTTAACTTTCATGTACTTTTATGTAGTATCGTGCCGATACGATAGTATACATTGTATTATCCACGTTACCTTTTGTAAGTTTGATTGCTTTATATGAAATAAGTTATAATCAATGTTGGCACATTGAAACATTCACTATAAACAGAGCAGTGGGCATTTTTTCTTACATATAAAAGTTAATTTAGAATGATTTAAATATACACGTTATTAAATAAAGAAAAAACGTCGATATTTTTATAGTAAATTAGTAAAGTTTAATACAAGAAATTCTCAATGCCAATACAGGTTATAATAACTATTGTAGTCGTTTTATATTTAACCTAACTAACGTTTAATTCATATGTAGGTAGCATTTCAGCTTCGCGAAAGAAGTCCGGAAATGTTGGATAGCATACTATCGAAAATTGAACGATATTTCGAGTCTAGAGAACGAGCTATTGCGGAAATTGGTGGATCTGTTGTTCTTCAATCCATCATGCCGTACATAGGATCCAATTTACCATATGATCAAGCTGATGTCAGTATTTTTTATTTTTTTTTTCTGATTAATCATCTAAACTATTCCAAAGCTTCCTTAAAAACAGGCTCAATCAAGTTAAAGGCACAATAATACATATTTTATCGTATGGTTAAATAAGAAACAGTTATTAAATAGACTCACATTCTTGAATTTAAACTTTTGTGCTTGCCTTGATTGACTGTTACTTTGTCATTCTAATAACATTTATTTTATTTTATTCTATTATTAATTTATGTTTGGTTGTGAAGACTTTAGACATATTGTGGTCACAGATTCAAAGCCTAAAGCGTAAAGGCTGGGAGGTCAGTTCCATTATTTCCATGCATTTCTATTTATTAAGAAATTTCTTAATATTGTATTTTTCACATTTTTTTTACCATTTATTAGTGCCAAATTCTTTTAAAACCTTGGTCAGATTATGATAGTGTTTTAGTAACTTCAGACCAGGTGAGGTTTTCTTCAATGAATAAAATTTGATAAATCTTTCGTTGAACGAAATTAACTATTTAAATTAATAGCACGAAGTAGATAAATTCATAGTTAAAGAACATTCACACCAATTATGCAACGCACTACCGGTTCCCTTGTTTAGGGTTTTTGTCGGTCTAGAAGATGAGGTTTGTAAATAGTTTTACCTTAAAAAATTATTTAATTCTACTTCGTTTATTTATTCGAGATGTACTATCCACAGACGATAGTGGACTCCCATAAAACAGCGGACATTTCATATTTTCTTATTCGTGATATTATTGATGATATTATTGAAATATATGAGATAAATCGTAAAGAATGCACAAAGTATCTAAAAGATCTTGCGTATAATTTTGCATCTGGAACATTTGTTGAAAAAGACACTACCACATCAATAACAAAATCTGAAACAAAAGTGAAAGATGAGCCCGATATAAAAATTGAGCCAGATATGGATACATTTCCCAATAATTGGGGGGTTGATGATTCCAAAGAAGCTAATGCAAGTTCAATTTCGAATCAAGGAATTGTGGGGTTTAAACTTGAGCAGATAATAGTTGAGGTATATAAACTTATTTAGTATATTTCAATTCTTGTCATATTTGGTTAGAAATAATACCAATTAAGCTTTTAAAATAATTAAATAAACATAGGAGATATTTAGTCATATCTTTCGCCTACCGCAACCTAGATTTAAGCCCATATTTTATCACTCTCTTTTGACTGAAATATGCAAAAGCATGCATGAGTCATTTCCGCCGATCATATCCTTTGTTATATTTGATGCTTTTATACTATAAATATTTGAATTAGGCCACATATTAATTCCTTAAGTTTGTGGATGGCTCTCTTTACCTCGGTAAAGCCATAGGAATTTTATTTGATCGCCTTGGCTTTATGGATGTTGAATGCTGCTACAGATTTTGGAATTGGTTTGCTCATCATCTTAGTAACTTTGGATTTGTGTGGAACTGGAAAGATTGGTAGGAATTCAATATTATTGATGTGCTATAATCATCTTAATTGACACATACTTAAGGCAATTTTTTCGAATTGCAGGGAGACAACTTTACAGTTGGACCCATTACATCCAAAAGTATGTTTCATACGAGAGACTTTAGAAAAGACCATACGCTATAGTTATTACGATCGGATCAGGTCTACAATACCGGAAGAATTCTTTGTTTTATTTCCGACAGCTGAGCCAACTACAAATTTTCGTTATGAAGATCCCGGTATGCATAAGATTCATTCTTCTTTCTAAAAGAGTCTTTTACATGTAAATTTATGTGCTTGCTTTGTAGACCACTATATAAACAATTTTGCAACAAGCCTGATAAGTAAGCTTCGAAACAAAAACTCTAACAGTGAGATACAAACATATCTGGAAGAGGTAGGCAAGAGTTTTCCTGACCTGCCTGCAAAAGAAAAAGAACAAACAATTCGTGATTTGTTTGTACAATGTGTGCTGATGCTAGGCAGTAAGAGTTTTAGTCATGTGTTAAACGTAATCGAGAGGTAATTAAACATGTTTTTCCACATACTGTATTATTATTTCAGACTAAAGATTCAAATTACTGTTTTTATTCAATTGCAGGTATCTACTGATTCTGCAATCTTTGAATGAGACACCTGAGGCAAGATTACACACCGTAAAGATTGTCGCAGAATTCTGGGTGAATAACACACAAGTAAATATTCATTAACATTCAAATATTTCTTTTGCTAAAATTAACTAGCAATTGTCATTATTGTATATATAGTTCTTGGGAATATTACTCGATAAATTATTAAATTATCGTGTAATTGATGCTATTTCTGTAATATCATGGCTGTTCACAGATGAGATGGAAAAAGACATTGCAAGGTAAGATTTACTTTATGCTTTTTTAATTTTATCAAATTTAAATTATTAATTCAAATATGGAATTTAAGATCATACATGTGGGAAATTATGAAAAACACTATTAACAAGGTCATATCACGTGTGAAACAAGTAACAAGTAAAAGGGAAACAGTATTAAATCCACAATCAGAGGTTGGCGTTCAAGGGATTGACATTACATCTGAAGGTGATTATTGTTTCATGTTAGGTTATTATGCATATTGTCAATTTAAGGTTTATGCCTAAATCTTTCTTAATCAATCTTAAGAGGATAAAAAGATCAATGCTCAAGAGTTGCACACAGTTGAGAATACACTAAATGCAGTTACCAGAGAACAGAAGGAAGTTTTATTAAAGATTGCTCAAATGTTTGTTAACTTGCTCGATAATAAGTTGAAAACCTATGAGAGTCAGGGAATTACGGACCCTATGTCACAATTATGGTTCTGGTGGGCATATGGATTTTTCAAAGAGATTGCAAGGACGGCAAGTGTTAATAGAATACTATATGATATTATATATTTTATATAACATTTTAACCATTGTTTTCATATTCAATTAATTTATCTACAGTATCAGCCGCAAATATCGACATTTCTTGTGACCATGGAGACTATAGTTATTACACCGGACATCAATCCATGCATTCTGAATGTGATTGAGATGGTAAAGGCGTTTGAGCATATGAGAAATGCGACAATCGAAAATGACTTTTCATAGGGTTTTGCAAATTGTACATCTGCACCTCTTATAACCACATGATCGATTTACGTGTTGTTATTTCATTGTTCGTAGAGGTCATGTAAATCTTATGAAGTTTTGCGCAATAATCGTCTTTTCAGTTAACTTTATACTTTTACTATACCTACGCACAACTATTGATACATTTTTCCTACTATTAGAGGTTATTGCTCTATTTGTATGTAATTTTTTTTTTTTTGCAGTAATGGTTTATATTAAAAATGCAGTACAGTTAGGCCTTAATAATTGCACTTTTTAAATGCGCGCTTTTTAAGAGTTTAATGTGTTTACTTTTTATAATTGTATATTCAAACTAAGGATCTGTAAATGCTTATGCCGGCACATGGGCACTTTGCCGGGCACTATTTTCTTATACTGTGTCAATACCTATAAGCAGGTATTTTTGTGCCTAGGGATCTGCAAGTGCCCAAATATTAGAATTGAAAATCCTGTATTTGAATTGAAAAGTTAGTATTTGAATTTGAATTAACATACAGGCGAAAATTTTTGATGGAAATGTGATTATTAGAATTAAGTGATATACGTAATGATTTATTAATGATTTATAAATATTATGCTGCTTCATAATCAGTTTCATAACAATTTACTGCTAAGAAAAATAATTGGCCAATTAAATACATGGTGATTTATAATTATTATGCGGTTTCATGAACGGTTTCATAAGCGATTCATAAGCGGATTAATAGTTAAGGCAAGCAATTGACCAATCAAATAAAATCTTACAATTCAATTTTACCGGAGATCAAGCAATATTAATATTAATATTAATATCAATTATATTTTACCGGAGATCATGCAATATCACATAAATGATTGGATTAAATTTCATGAAATGTTATCATTAATTTTTAATAATCACCAAATCGAAAAAATCCGCCCGCATGATAAACTTATTTCTGATTATGAAATTTATTTGTGAATACAGTATTACGTAAGCATATTTAAATTCGTTATTGTAATCACTCAAAGCATTAAAAAATATAAACATTACGTATAAACAGGTTTATACGCCATTAATTAAAAAACTCATTAATTTCTGAATCTTAATTTCATTTAACTTTATCCCACGTATTCAATAACCTATTTGTTTACTTGAGTCGGATTTGGATTATTTCGTATTCTGTTACTGAAAACTTACTTCTAATTGCATTGCTAATTTGTTTTTCATAAATGGAAGAATAATATTCACATCCAAAATCTCGATTAAAATTATTGTACATGAAAAGATCACCAAAACATGGGCCATTATTAGAACTACAATAAAGTGCTTCTTGTGGATCATTTACACGACTTAAAATAGAGGAAGGAATAGTACCATTTTTCAATGAAAAAATAAAGCTATCATTGCAATTTACATCGCCACCAATTGATTTATCCCATTTTATAGGATTATAACCACCAAGAATTTCATCTGTATTTTTAACCTTCATTACAACAATAGTATTTGTAGACCCATTACATTTTTCCCAAAATGATTCTTTAGTAAAACCATCTCTGGTTCCGCGAAGAAGTAATTTAAACTCATACGGATTGTTTGCTATTGAATATGTTTCAGCTTTCTTATCAATCCATGTTGCAATTTCAGCTGCATGATCCTCAGTAATAACGTTTGAAAATGGTTCTGTCGTACGCGTTGGTAACTTTGGTGTTAACAATACTCGAGGTGGAAGAACTATTGAAGATATTTGCCAATTTGGATTTACGGCTCTTTTCATTATATCTTTCCAAAGTTCTCTTTCTAAAATCGTTTGATATGGTTCTACTTTCTCAACAATATCCTCCCCTGATATTTGAAAATAACGAATATGAGGTAAACAATTCTTTAATGTATTTTTTAAAGCCTGAAAGTTTTCACTAGTCCAATTTTCTGG